AGTGCTGGGGTCGTGGGTTCGAACCCCTACCGGGTCAAACCAAAGACTTTAAAATTTGTATTTGCTGCCTCTCCGCTAGGCACGCAGCATTAAGGAGTAAGAGCAAAGACTGGTCGGCTCGGAGTCCGAATAATGTGTCTAGGTAAGGTGATATGTCTTCCTCCGGACTGTGTGTTGCTTTGTGAGCTAGTACGATAAAAATCCATATCGGCATGTCGGTCTAGAACAAAGCAGAGTTAATATTCATATTACATAAACATGTTCTCGTCCTGAATATGCATATTAATTTGCCGCTGGACGTTATAAGCAGCCGTTCATCATCTTCATCATCATCATCACAATACAACTTTGTATTATCTAATTCTTATGTTTATTACAACCCAAGAGTTGAGTGGGGTGAAGAAAAATAGACTTGTTTTGGGTTGTTTTGGGGTTTGTTTTTTTTTTTGCTATGATTTTGTCGCTCATTTTGACTCGTATTCCTTTGGTATGTTTTGGTTCTTTTGATATTAAGGTATCTTCCAGCTCTTTATTTCACATAATCGTTTGTACAATACAACTGAAATTTTATTCTCTTATCTTATGTTTATAACATTCCAAGATTTGACGAGGGTACAGATATATAAACTTTTCCAGTCCGGCGGTAAGACCTATGTTTAAGGGCGTACTTTTGGTTGCGCGGGATATATAAACCTGCGGGCTTCATGCCGGAATGGGACCGTTAGTTCCAATGCAACGTGTTGCGAGATTGTCAGACTCTCTGTACGCTAAAGAACTCTTATACATTCTTTGGGGCGTCCATTCGAGGTATGTTGCAAAGCTTTATTTCTGTCCCAATCCGTGAAATAAACCTTCCTTATCAAGTGCATGGCAGCCAAAATGTCATGTTCCTTCATCCAAGACCAACCACTTTGCATTGTCTATACTTATCCGATTTATCATCTAAGTATTCACCGTCCTACAAATGCATAAAATATTTGCCACTTGAAGTTAAACAAACAATAGTTTTTTTAAAGCTCCGTCAGTTACAACTATTTTAAAACAATATCCTATATTATACATTGAACACGAATATAAATCAATCTATAACTTGAACTTGCATTGTGATAATAGCTTTTCCTTTGTGTTTTCCTTTGAAGGCATCAATTTGACTTTGATCGAAATGAACAACTGCAATAAAAGGTGGTATTCCTTTGATTTGGATTTTGGTTATTTTGACATTTACTTTCAGATCGGTACATCTGTTCTTTTCTCGTTCTATAAATACCACAATGTTTCATAAAAACTAGCTTTGATCTATAAATGCCATAACGTATCATGAAAACAAGGTCTACAGCACTATATCTGTATGCGGAAGGTATACAAAGGCTGTGAAAAATCAGGCGCAGATCCAGGATTTGATGTTAGGAGGTGGGGGTGCTCGTGAGAATTAGGAGTTAGATAACCATATTTTGACAAAAAAAGTGGCTGTAATTTTTACATATAAATTAAATTTCTTTTAATTCTCTTGAGGAAGCGCCGGTTGCGCCCAAATCAAAATCAGTGCCTTAAAAGGAACAGATTGATAGCTCTTTCCGTTTCTTCGTTTCTTCGTTAGTGAAGCTCTTACACTTAGTCAGACCTAAAGCATTTTGTATCAAAAATTTCGGTCTCGATGAATTTTTTAATATTGTCTTGAAAAGTATAATGCCAGTCAGCTAAATATCATCTTGAAATAATGTGAATTTGATGAAGAATTTTTTCTCCAATTATATCATAATTCGAATTCAAGTTGGCCCAAGTTTTTTTCAGATTTTGACTCCCAGGTGAGTGAAACAAATACAGGTAAAGTTGTGTCTAACACTTTTCAAGTTAGTCTGAGGTTCGATCATAATTAAGTAATGCACTTGATAATGCAGATACATTTTACAATTACCAAACTGAATCTCCTGACTGTAAAGAAGCATTGTGACAAGAATGCTTAAGATTGATGTCCAGAACGTGTTAAATACTCACAGTTTGATTGCTGAAGGGGTCGCCAATACCGTAATGATGATACAAATATAAATGAAAAAGAGGGGAAAAAACTCTGTAAACCAGAATGTCTTTTTATTTGAAAATCCTTGAAAACGACAAATGTATGTACTGTATACGAAGAACATATGCTCGACATTCCTGATCAGAAATGAAACATTATATGAAAATACGCTGGTCAGATTCTATTTTGTTTTCTCGAATTACGCCCCACTTTCAAAACTCCTGGGTGCGACCCTGGCAACTATCCACCAGAGTCGAAATGACTAAGATGTAAACAGCTTATAAGTATGCGTGAACTGAATATATATTTTCCCGAATGCATCATGCACGCACGTACTACATGTGGTTAGGTTTTTTCCGTCGCTTTTAAATCTGACAAGAAATTATATACTGTATGGTCATGACCTCAAAAGCTTATCAGTAGCTCGAACAGGACAAATATAGACCTGTAGTATTTATCTATTTGTAAACAACCTTACGGACAATTTATTAAAAGTATACACCATATATAATACTTTTAAAACTGCAATAAGTTCTTAATTTTAGATTTAAGTCCTGCTGGCAGAGATTCAAATGGTTAACGTGCATATACATAGGGTATCAATCAATGTTGAATCGATAATCAAGTTAGTCTGAAATTTATTTCATTTTTATTTTCTTTTATGTTACGATGAATATTAAGATTATGCCAAACTCGCAAATGTACTTAAGATTAAATTCATTATTTGGTCACATTGGATCATATAATATATGTAAGGGGTTATATAAAGACACGTGAATTTAAATGAAGATGTACTTGTGGGGTTTGAAAGATTACTGAATTAACTTACCATAGAATAAAATTGAGAATGGAAATGGGGAATATGTCAAAGAGACAACAACCCGACTAAACAGCAGACAACAGCCGAAGCCACCAATGGGTCTTCAATGCAGCGAGAAAATCCCGCACCTGGAGGAGGTCCTCAGCTGGTCCCTAAATAAAATTGTGTGCTAGTTCAGTGAAAATGGACGTCACACTAAACTCCAAAACATATAAATGAACTAAAATTAAAAAACATACTAGACTATCAAAGGCCAGAGGCTCCTGACTTGGGACAGGCGCAAAAATGCGGCGGGGTTAAACATGTTTTGTGAGATCTCAACCCTCCCCTATACCTCTAGCCAATGTAGAATAAAGAAACACATAGCAATACGCACAGTAAAACTCAGTTTAAAAGAAGTCCGAGTCCGATGTCAGAAAAGGTAACAAAAGAAACTAAGCAAAATGACAATGATGCATAAATGAACAAAGGACTACTAGCAGTTACTGACATGCCAGCTCCAGACCTCAATTAAACTGATTAAAAGATTATGTCTTCATCATATGAAAATCAAGTACAATCCCTCCCGTTAGGGGTTTAGTATCATACCATCATAAAATATATGAGAACATAACCCGTATCATGCCAACAACTGGTTTTAGAATAAATGTGTTTATTTCCGATGCAAAGACCATATGAGTGAATCAATATTAATACCAAAATATGCAATCCTTAATGACTTGACAACAGTATCTTTGATTTAGGGGAGAATTATATCCCGTCTTTTTTTATTTGTAGTCATATATCCCCGTTCAACTGTATTTGCAGTGAGGTATTCCGCCTTCAACGGTATTTGCAGTGAAATATGTCCCCTTCAACAGTACTTGCAGTGAGATATTCCCCTGCCATTGTATTTGCATTGAGATATTCCCTCTTTAACGGTATTTGCAGTGAGATATTTCCCCTTCAGCGGTATTTGAAGAGTTATTCCCCTACCAAGGTATTTTCGGTGAGATATTCCCACCTTTAACGGTATTTGCAGTGAGTTATTCCCCTCCAATGCTATTTGCAGTAGTAAAGTATAATATTATCAGTGCTATCAGCAGGTTTTGTGCTTTGAGTAACTGCGAGCATTCTTCGTTACGGTATAATATAGTTTATTTTATTGTATGTTTTTTTATAATCTATCAAACCGTTGAGAGTTTAATTTTTTCCCAGTACTTACCTTTGTTGTATGTTCTTGTTGGCTTGCTGATCGAGATTAAAGAGGGGATCCTACAATTTGTTTGTTCTTGTTGTTATCTCATATACCGCTGTGTAGAATAAGTTAAGGTCGCAAATATATGTACGATTTGATTGGTTGGTTTTGCTTTACGCAGCATCAGCGGCAAAATAAATATGTACGGCCTTCTCTATTTTTTCGCAGTAAATTACTGTGTCTAAAACACATCCCTTTAAAAGTTGTTTTGGTGACATAACTTCAAAAGAGTTGACCTTTAACATAAAAATTGACATCACAAAATCCCTTCTGGCACGCAACAAAACTCGAGACAAAGGATCGGCGATATCTCAAAATCGAAGAAGCCTTCAACACGGAGCATTTGCTCACATTTACACTGCAAGTTGGTTGATTGGTTGACTGTTGGTTCCAAGTTGAAGACGGCCCCTTGGATTTCTTTCGACTTGGTTCGCATATTCTGTATGTGGAATTTTGGTGTATTTCTCTGGAATATACTTCACTACACCACAATACAGCCAGGGTGAAAATAAATAAGATGTGTGCGTTTAGAATTTATTCGCATTTGTGTGTTTGCTCATTCCCTAAATCGCACAGTACAACATTTCTTAAGTCCAAGCATAACAATACATACAAAAACAAAACATACCATAAGCATCACGACGGATGCCACTCGTGGAGTAGAAATTCCTTACCCTTCCGGAGCACCTGAATTCACAATTGGTGCTTAGTAGGGTTCGTGTTGCTCAATCCTTAGTTTTCTTTGTGTATTTTGTATTTTTATTTTGGTCATGGTATAGTCCGTTTTACTTCGACTTAGGATCATTGATTGTCCCCCTTGGTATCGTCTCCCTCTTCTGGTACCTGTAGTCCTGTTAAAATGATTCCCCAATCTTGATACAGATTAATCAGCTTAAAATAGACACTAAATAGACACTAAAATATCATTTGGATCTTTAGAAAGTTTATTAATTTTAAGATACTGCATCATAATATGTTCTAAACTTACAATCAACTAATCTGCTTAAGGTATATTTACACATACAACTGCAAAATATCGCAATCTCAAAACAATTATACATACATTCATTACAAATTGACTAGTTAAGTCCCCTGAAAGTCGCTTCCGGAAAAGGACGATAACTGTGTGCAAACTGAATGTTAATGTGTGCATATACCGGAAAAGAAAATTTGAAAGGGAAGCATTTCGGATCTTACTTTTCCCTCTTTTTCAATTTGACTGGATTGGAAGCAACATGCTCACATTAATAAATGCATTCTGATAAATGTGCCATTTGATGGCTTAGAGGCTACTGAAATGAACATTGATTAACAAATGAAATAAATCAGAACACAACGTTATCAAATCCGCGTCTGCTAAAAGATCTGGCCAGGGTAGTAACATTAAAGCAATAAGCTCTGTTTTCATCAAATGACAAAAAAGCAAATTATGTGACCTTAACCTACACTTACTTTTCATATATTTACAACATACGAAATGGTTATAAATAAAATTTTAAAAACTTTACAAAAATGGAAGACGATGATTTCGTTAATGCCTCTCTGGAAGACATTTATAATATATATATAACTAAATGTACCCGCAAATCTACGCTTATATTAAAAAAAAAAGATACATGCTAATCATTCATAAAAAAAATTGTAATCAATAATTTTACAAAAAAGTAGATTCAACTTTGATTGGTTAATTCGTTGGTGGGAAAATATCTTCAAAAGATCACAACCGACAGGTTTTATCACAGAAATATATGACGTCATCAATGCTTGTACTAAACGTTCTTGTTGTCATGAAGTAGTCTCAAACATAAAATTACTGAACTTCTACACATATTTTTTAATGAACAACTGGCCACGAAAACAGTACGAAATAAAATGCCCAATGAATTTCAAACCTAAAATTCAAAAGATTTATAAAAAATATTGACTCTTTTCGAATACATGTAACAATAGAACATGAATCAATTCAACAATGTACATTTGTAAAAGGTTCACTAACACTATGAAATGTCTGTAAAAATGGGCAGTGAGCGGTCCTAACAACAACTTCCACATCCCCATGGTAACAAATGGCAATCGTTGACAAAAATAAGACATAAAAAGTTAATGCATTTAAGTTTTTGTCACACTAGCACCTAAGTTAAAATGCATAACGCGTTATCTGCATAGGAATGGTAACGTGTGCACAGTCTGGAATGTCACGTGACATGATGAAAGACCACTTTTGGCGGTAGTATAGCTTAATTAACAAACTGCACTATGGGTTCGTGTCATTGTAATCATTTTCTTTTCTTATTTCTGGTTTGTCTTTGTAAATGCCCCATAGACACATGACTAGATCCGTCAGAAGTATAGAGTTCGTATTTCTTGCTACTATACGCAACACAAATAGTCCATCATCTCTAAGATAATCGTTGGCAAATCTTCTGCATAACTTTTTCTCGTCTTCTCCATGAAGCTGATCATTGACTTTCAAAAACTTTTTGACGTAGGCGACACGATTCTGTTTTACTACCACTCGCCAAATCCAGAACAGGAAATTTCCAGTGGTTACTATGGCAATGCAAACAAACCAGAACCACAAAAATATGAAAATTTTCTCGTTGAATAGATTTATAGGCAATACACATTGAACTGTCCATCTTTGTACATTTGCAAGTTGTCGAATATCGAAATCACAAAGCGTGACGCGCGGGAATCTATATGATTCTTTGATTTCCCAGTCACGTGCAAGACCATCAATAACTTCAAATCCGTAAGCCGAAAAGAAATCGTGACCCATAAAGGCATTCAAGATAAAGAACTGGCAGATAATATTGACGCAGTATAAGATCTTTACAAACATGTACAGTCCGGTTAAAAATGTTCCTTCGCGCTTGTTGCAAAAAACGCAGCAAAATCGCGCCATTTTATGTTGCACACGAACCATGAAGTTGTGCGAATACGGTCTGTGGGTTTCCAACCAACGGTCTACGTAAATACTGATGTGCTTGACGGATTCGTCGCGTTTCTTCGGGTCACTCGTTTGTGTTGATACGGCCATGTTTACGATTTTTTCAACATTAAGTCCAGAATAACCATTCAACATTCTCCAAACGAGGCAAGGAAATTTAAACATGAAAGCCATAAAGACCAAGATAATAGGTATCCACTGGTAATATGCGAGTTCCTCTGATTCACGGTCCATGTGATCTGTAGGGATGGCGTTATTCATGGGAATATAGTACGTGTTTTTAATCCAACAGTAGGATTTCGTATACGAGACATACGCCCCCGTGAATTGTGCTGGACACCAACATTGGATCGGGTCACCGACGTATTGTCCGCCGCCTGTGAACACAGCAAAGACACACAGCAATACCACCGTGTATAAATGATTTAGTCTGTCCACCCAATCATCGTCATCATTGCCTCGGAGTTTGCTCCAACTAGCCCAACTCCCAAAAATCCAAACAACACTGAAAAAATAAATAAAAAAGAAAATATGAAAAACAGAATTATAGAAAAATATAATTATTTCTGGATGCAGAGATGTTTATAATATCTTCAGAAAACGATTGACTTTTTGTGTTTAACACCACTACCAGAACTATTGGCTGTATGGTGGCGTCAAGTTCTATTTGTGGAGGAATCCGGAGAGAACCACCGACCGTCGGTAGGAAAACTAGCAATCCTTATCTTAAGATCGGAGTCGAACGCACCTGCCACGTGCGGGGTTCGAAGTCCACTGTGTTAACAGGCTACTTAGACCACTCTGCCACCGAGGCCCCTTCAGAAAACGAGATATATTGAATATACTGATATAAAATGGATAGAATCTTCTTTTTGTTTTTAAATTCTCCAATTTTGATTTGAAAGGGAAACTTTTTTATGCAGATGAGACATCTTTCAAAAAGCTGCCAATGCATGTTTTTGTGAACACAGGCTTGATATGTGCTCATTTCTCAGGATACATTGTATAATATTTGGAATTGAGTACACCCGCCATAAGACCCCCTTTTTCCACAGATTAATTGACTTTGTCAACATTAATTAAACGCATGTACGTTTGATTTATTATCGTTATTATAAGTTTTGTCGAAATTGTATTGAAGGACACGTATGGATATGAAGATATAAAAACTGTTTATGTTTTAAAATATCCTTTTGAAGTAGGCAAAACAATGGTGAGCTAATTTACACACGATAAACACACTGTCAACACAACGAATCCAAACAATAGAAATATGGTTTTATCTCGAAGATTTCAATTAACACCTCATAAAGGTCATGTTAGAATATTACGAAATACTAGCATTTAAATTATAATCTTGGGATTATTTCAAACAACAAAAGAAGATATCTGTCATTTATAATCCAAAATAAAAATATTACGTATTGTTATCGGGGTGTTAAGTCCCATATTAAGCACTCACAACGGGAGATAAATTCAACTGATTTTAAAAACATAGCCTGGGTTCCTTGCTCAACTTGTTGACGCAAAGCTGAGATTGGGCCGGGATCCCAGTCTACTTAAATTAAACATATCATCATGATGTAGTAAAGATCGTATCATTAGAAATAAAGAAATCAAGCTTTGTGACGGATGTAAGGACGAAAAGTATTTGTCTTTAAAAGGGTATTTGCATGAACAAAGTCATGGTCTCATAACATGGGCATTATCATGGTAGTTACGAAAAAATTACCACCAATTGTCGGTTTCTGCTTAACGTCCAGTGGCAAATATCTCTCGTTTACCAATATATACGTTACTGCATGCTGGGCCACACGAGATGAAGGTCTGGTAATAAGGACTCTCACTTACGGGGCCCCTGGGTTCTTCAGCGTAAAGAGGGCGTTTCACTTTCACAACATAGGGCATTAAAACACTATGTATACGATTAGACCAGAGCATTCTTGTCGGTTTTTGGGGAATAGTTTTGGCAATGGTCTGACAGAGGTGCCTAAACGTTGGGGAATATAAACAATAATGTTAATGTATGGTTATATGGCAATTGATCTATTACGATTTCGAGGCAGAAACTTGCCGCTCCAAGTCTGGATCGGTATTTTTAATGTTTCATATTGCAGTCGGACGTACTTTGGCTAACACCAGGCCCTTAAACAGACCGTCGGACGTCAGAGCAATCTAGCTACATGTAGTATACGATAAAAAAAGAAAGAAAGCATATTCATCTATGCATTGTTCATCATGGTATTTTATATTCGGTATTTACTAAATAGATTTGTACAATGTATGCAGAACTCTTCCACTTCAGAATTACTGAGTGTTTAAGTACGAAACAGTCCACGTTTTAAACATACGAAAAAAGTAATTCCTATAAAACTGTTTATTTATACAATAAAATTGACTACAGAGATTTATTAGTGTACAAATAAATTCATCTTTCGGAAGGGGGTGATGACTTACAAGAGTTATCTATCTTTGATCAGTACAACCATAAATGGTCATAGTTATTTCAGATGTTATACAAATAAGCTAATTAAAAAGCAAGTTAAAGTTGAAAATGATTGAAGTATTTGATGATGTTTATACTTGTTTACTGATATCTTTTAAAGCATGCAGTTCATGTTTTTTTCCAAAATTATTAAGTATACATTTATTGTGTGTGTTTAGAAACGAAACAGGATTTGGGGATAAGCTTATACTAGTCATAAAATCTTTTCTAAACAAAAGTTTTAATGGACATAATTTTGATAAAAGCCTCTTATCCATTGGAAGTCTACCGGCTCCAAACAAACAAATACTTTATTTTCGTATATTCCAGGCAATATTTCGTCTTTATATTTCCTAGGCAATATCACATACATGTATTTTGCTGGAATTTCTTTTATCTTTTTCTCATTATGTAATATCAAGATTTCATTATCTTTTTATCGTTATGTAATTATTATGACTTAATAAATTAACTTTGGCATTTCAATAATACAAGGAATATATCTGAGTATAATATTTCTGTCAAAAATGATAAAATAATATCTACAAAATGACATGTAGAATCCAGGTAGGGGAAATGAAATATCATTAAATGTCAAATTTTACTAATTGCTCAATTAATTAAGACAATGACGTAATCAGTGTTCCTCTAGGTATGCTATTATCTCCCATTGTTAGAATGTGTTAATTTCAATCAGAAAAATCTGCTCAATGTCATAGGGGGCAATAATTTTTGGACATTTTTACTCCAAATTATCGTCTGCGTCTACCCACAGGCAATACATGTTACATTTTATATCTGGACGGTCTCACAGCTGTATTCTAAAATATTTTCAATGAAAAATTGCCCCGAGATATGGAATTAGCCAAAATTGTGAAAATGAAATGAAATTGAATGCCGTCTTGTTAATTTTGATTTGCATTCCACCCATAAGGGTACATTAAGGCAATACTAAACTTTTTTTCAAAATTAAATTTTACAGCAAGCAAATATTTATTGCACTTTTGCATTGGTTATTAAGCAATTATATTTAGTTCACAGTAACTGAAAATGTATACCTTTGTTCAATCATGCCAATATGCTAAAATAATAAATGAACTAAATTGAAATACAATATCCAAACGACTTTTTCAAAAGCATAAACATTTAAAATTTAATCTTAATTTTTTATAATAAGATTAATAAAGATCAATTATAAAACTAAATATTGATTTAAATGCATAAAATGTTTACATTCTGAGTAACAAATATATTCACGAAAAGTGACCGGTGCTCTCAATGAATTGGTCTACTTAATACTTGTTTTGTGCATTTTTTTGGCACCCCTCTAATGAATATATTTGGAAACTTCATTCATGAATATAACGATTTGTACTTGCACGCAGTTGTCGTCTGCTAAAGCCTTTGAAGTAGGAGATTATGTAATTATCACATTACAATGCCAAACTCAATTACAAATGCTATCATTGTATATTATTTGTGATATACAAATATGAAAAGAAAATGTCGTGGGTTACGTGTGAATTGTAAAGAATCACAACAAGTCGTTGTGCACGTGCAATAATTGACAAGAAGATATAAATGTACTTGTAAAATGCATATACAATAGAAAAAAGTTCTTATCGGATATATATGAGCGGTATACGTAGGTAAAACAAGTGGTTTCTTTCATTGTTTAGTGTCTTTGAGAGCAAATTTCATTACAAGTATAATTAATCTGTGATTGCATTATGTTTTCACGAGGTCAGGGAATTATCTCTTTGTGATTTGTAATATAATTACATGCATTTACAAAATATAATAATCATACAAAATATAATAATCACACAAAATGAAATAAATGTCCTGATATTTGAAAAAATATAAATTATGGAAGAGCAAGTTTTTGTCAATTTCAATGTATCAAAATAAATGAATAAAAGTTGACAGATATTATTCTTTTAGAGTATGAAACCAGGGACAGTCTATACTAACTTATAGTATATATACTTATATAGTTAGTATAGACTGTCCCTGATGAAACTTTGTAAAACACGAACTTCTGTGCAGCAAAAACGAGCACATATGTAATGAGCTGTTTTTAGTAAATGAAAATACCAATAGATAAACGTTTTTATCATCTTGCGAATACTACAAAAATGTGTAAATTAGATATCGTGTGTGACTATTAATTTGATACATGTAAGTTAAGTATATATAGATACAATATGGAAAATGACACATTAGTTTTTGTATAAACGTCTATACTCAAACTCCAATTGAAATGGAATAAAATATTGATGGACTAATGAGTTTATGTTCAGCTAGCTCCCTGTCGTGAAACCACAATTTTTTTTAAATGCTTTATTGTTACTATCGCTAGTTTTTCATTTGGTTCAATGGTCAAAAACTCGACCTATATAAAATTTTCCCCACAACTGTCAATGACTGTCGCAAATAAGATAATCTCATAAAATATAAAGACAGTCTTAAATGTAAACAACGATGACCCACTATAAAACTCCATATTTCGGACATTAAACCCCAACAATCCAGCCCTCCTTCGAAAAGATTGAAAAAGTAAACCACGACAAAAATTTATGAACGTCACGTATGGGGCACAAAATATTGTCAACAATGGACGATTTTATCGCCCCCAAATTTTAGAACCAAAGTTTAACTCACCTCATTTTTGTAGCTTTTCAATCAGTTGTTTTGTTTTAAATGTCCACACTGTATAAGATGTCCTACTTTTACGAAAGGGGGCAAAGCCCAAAATCTCCGAAATTGTCAAACAGCTGAATGTTGCAATCCTAAAGCTTTAATAATTCACTAAAGCGTGACATCCGCTTAACCAATCAGATTGGTCTGATGAAATTTACCTATGTAGTATATCGTTTGTGTAGTTAACAAGTTAACGTGAGCAGGTAAATAGAGACACACCTGTAAACATTTGAGTGACGTGCGTTTTGTTTGGTTTCTCGTTTTAAATAATTCCATGACGCTTCATATGTGAAGATTACAAATATTTATAATTTCATCAGACAACCCTTTCAACAAAGTCAGAAAAGAATTTAAAACGGAGTAAAAGCAATATTACATCAATTCGATAATATTATAAATGGTCAATTTAGGTGTCTTTAAAAATTACAAATTAAAGTAATCCAACAATTACCAGGACCACGTACCCCTACGAATTTATAAATAATTTTATTTGCAAATTACATCCATAAGGGTTAAGCAAAAAAATATAAATTTGACCTTCTGAATGACCACCCAATAGTCGCATTCTTTTTTTTCTTTCGCTTAAACAGAGTATAAAAATATTTTTAGAGCTCTAGGACAAGTTTAAGAAAGATCTAAATGTCCTTTTTAAATAACATATGTATCTAAATAATACATATAGAAATAGGTATGATTGCCAAGAAGACATATATTATAACCAGAGATCTAAGAACGAGAATGTAAACAATATAGATTACTATAAAATTGAGAATGGAAACGGGAAATGTGTCAAAGAGACAACAACCCGACCAAAAAGCAGAAAACAGCCCAACGCCATCAATGGGTCTTCAACACAGCAACAAAATCCCGCACCCGGAGGCGGGCTCCAGCTGACCCCTAAACAATAATGTATACTAATTCAGCGAAAATGGACGTCACACTAAACTCCGAAACATATAAATGAATCAAATTAAAAAAAAAAAACATACAAGACTAACAAAGGCCAGAGGTTCTTGTCTTGGGACAGGCGAAAAAATGCGACGGGGTTAAACATGTTTTGTGAGATCTCAACCCTGCCCTATAACTCTACCCAATGCGGAATAAACAAACACACAGCAATGCGCACAATAAAACTCAGTTTAAAATAAGTCAGATATATAGCCTTTCTTCTTTTTTATTCTTGGGAATGGGACCTTTTCAAGTAAAAATAGTAATAATCTTTATTGTCGTAAAGCGTAAGTACAGATTCTAATATATACACAAAATACAAATTATATAAAACATTTACAACAAATTTTACAACAATAACAAAATTTGTGAATATTTCAGGCTTAATTCTATTTAAGAATTTTTATCCTTCCCCTAACTGGTCATTGCTTTTATACAAAGCCGAAATCAAATCTGTAGAGCAACATGGGAACTTTTTTCTTGAATGTTGAACGAAATCTTAAGCAAATATTTTTATTTCATATTTCTGAATACATTTTCACCTTTACAATACGACTCAAAGGAGTAGGCCCGGTAAGACCCCTTTTTGGCCCAAAAATATAGCATTTCAGAAGTTTGTTAAAAATGTAAACTTTTAGCTATTTATTGGAAAGTAGAATACCTTTGTTACATAATTATGGGCTGTTTTTGTTATTACACTGCACATGCATCAGGTATATACTAGCATCATTAATTCATGCAAAATAAATGAAATCTTCACAATTCTAGCATTTGTGCTTATTTTTAGACGGTTTTTGTCTGAAATGGAAGTGGCCGCACTTGTGTTCAGTCTTAATTTTTAAATATATGTTGTATTTGATGATGATACGCAACAGATATAAAGGTTGACACTGAACACGAATACGGCCACTTCCATTTTAGACAAAAACCATCTGAAAAGTTACGTTTTGTGGCATGTTTGATAGATTTTTCATATTTAAGCTTGAATTTAGGCGTTTTTAATGACCAAATCAGGTCAAATCCTTTACATAAACTAATTGAATCGACTGAAGTAGACTAAAGTGTTTAAAAAATGTCAAAAATCTTTCATCAGATGTACCTCAAATTTTAGGCCAAAATCAGCCCTTACCGGACCTTCTCATTTAGCTTGTATGAAAAATACCTTTAGACCATAGAATTGTAATATTAATTTGTAAGTCAAAGTTGGAACAAGTAAATCGGGTTCCACATTATTATTATGATTGAGAGGAAGAATTGGAAGAGAAAAAAAAGGGGGGGGGGTAGAATAAATCAATTTCGTTGGCTTGGATTAGACGCAAAAGACATTTTAATCTGCAAAAAAAATAAAACAAAAATGAAGAGTTTTAACTCTATGACTTACTTAGTTTGAAGGAACATCAAATGGACTTTGTTGGATAGCTTTCTCATTGACAATCATATTACATCTAATTCTATATGATGAAAATATCATTTTTTACATTATACTTATAGTAAAAACCAGGAATTTACGAATGTGTTATAAAACACAATTGACTTTCTTTTTAAACATCGCAAATATGTAACGTACAATCTTTACTGTTGTTTGTATTTCCGTAAATAGACTTATTTTTAAACACAAGGTTAAAGTCCAATCGATATACTTGTAAACATTCAAAATGGCTACTGACGATTTAGAAAATCTTATTGAGGAATTGAGGAGAAATTTTAACAAAGATGACGGTGACGACGAGGTTGATGACGAAGATCTAGCGAACCTCGATACTGAATGTGACATTTCTGAGCTTGACGAAGAAACAGTGTTGGCTGAGAGTAAAAAGGTATCAATTTTTTGTCGCAATTGTTTGTCACCTTATCAAGGAGAGAGGGGACAAGCCGGAAGTATAATACTTAAATGTGAAAAGTGTGATCATAGAGATGTTGTTACGGAAGATGATTTACAAGATACGGAACCAGAACATTCCGAAAGTCTTGCAAAGGGAGGTAATATAATTCTAAACCGATTTTCAAAAGTTTTATTAGAAAAAAATGATTTGAAGAATATTAACATTGACGGGTCGTGTTGCATGGATGACGAGTTTCAGGTGATAACCGAGGCTTTGCCTTACATCACAGGCAGTATGAAGCAAACTTTCAGTGACATGCACAGAATTACGGATGAACACCGAAAGGTTCACAATGCCGAAATGATCCGAATGTTAACAGAGCAGGGTCGATGCGAAGAATACGAGACAGAGGATGGAACAAAGGCTATGAAGTTTTCTGTTCCAATCCATGGCTCAGAGGAAGACGGGGATTTGGTTATTTTGCCAGAATTTTACAAACTTCCAGAAGAGGCAAAAACAAACTTCCGAATTGCAGGGCGTCTAGGAATACAGAAAGTCGATACCTTTATTTTGAACATTGGACTAAAAAGCAGTCAGCTTAAAGTGATGCCATTGTTTCAAGAGCGCTTAATAAAGTACTGTAAATTTTCAAAAAAATCAAAATGTGATAGTAACGCACAAGCTGAAGTTAAGATGTTTAACGCTGATAGGGAAGCTCCCAGTAAAACCGTAGCCAGCAATATCAGTAATGAAATTTCTAGCTCCGAAAAGGTTGAAAATTCGAACTTGTCAACCGGAAACGAAACAATAATGCAACAAAAAACAAAAGTCAAACGCACCGAAGAAGAAAGTTCGTCATCTACCGTCGCTACAAACTTTTCAAACTGTGATATTTTACCACAACCCTTAAAAGAACCTCCAAATGATACCAACAATTCAAATTTACAAAAAGAGACAGGAAATGTTGAAACTGTCGAACCACCGCCCGAAAACCATTTAAATTCAGAAATAAAAGAAACACAAGATCAAAATTCTACCCGTGAAAAAGATAATAGGAGCCCTGAAGCTGACAACACTGACATTGGCTCTCCGTTACCTGAAGACGGTGGTTGTAAGCCGAAAACAAACTATGTTGACGATGAACCACTTGACGACGACGAATCTCGTGACGGGACACATGGGTCGATTTTGCAAGAACTGCAAGAATTTTCGAGCATTTTGAATTCAACGGAGGAGCAGAAAGAATTGGCTAAAATTATACCAAATGATGTTGTAGTTTTTGAAGAATCGATGCAGTTTTCACATGTCGAGGCAAACGAGGCGTTCAATGAAGTGACATCATCTATGATTACAAGAGCGACGCTTGCTAAAGAACAGCGCATGCGCAATACTATGACAATGATTAAAAGTGCAGCTCGAAGCATGTCGGAAAAGGTTGATAAAGTCCAGAACGACATGATCAAAGAACTCCAGATTGCTTACAAATCAAAGAAAATAAAAGCAAATAAACAAAAGCAACGTTTAGAAGAGACTCAAAATACACTCGAACATTACAGAGAAATGATCGCTCATTACCAACAGACTGGTGAGATGGACAAACTAATGGAAATCCTTGACATTCTTAGAGATTATAATAATATGAACTAAAATAACGAACTGTTTCAAAAATCAATTAAAATTTATAATTTTTTGGCAACAGCTGATAAAGTAATTTTAGTTTGAAGATTTTCATAATTCTTTTAGTTTGTTTTTTAACAAAAGTTTTAGATAATCCATCTTTTCATTGAAAATATGACGGGATTTATCAATTTACATTCTTATATATTATAATTACTACCCTTTCTGTGTAAATAAGGACCCCAACGCTTAGCAGGAGAAATTATTATAACTTTTTTGTGGTGGCAGCCATTTCGGAAGTCTGATGCATGTTCGGAAAGTTCTTTAGTTATCGATTGTTTGACAAAATATGAGTCCATATCAATCCAACCAAATATTTGATGAAAATAATTTTCATGACATATTGACCGGCAGCTAGCTGGAGGCCATTATAGAATACTTTCAACCATTTCCTTCTGATCTAATTGAGGTTGAAAAGATTAACTCTGAGGTTATGAGTTCGAATCCCGCTCGTGACAAGGTGCGCTCGACTCTTAGCTTAATCGACTGGGATTGGCAGTTTTCTAATGAATCGATGGTTCTCTCCGGGTACGCAAGCTTCCTCCACACATGAAAATTGTCCGCCATGTTATAGTCAAGTGTGCTGAAGATTACGTTAATCACCACACATTAATCAATCACTGATTCAGGCGAACATTCGCTAAATTTGATTTAATTATACTACTGATAAACACATATACAACATTGAATTTATTTTACTTGCAGT